TCCCACAACTATTTTGCATCTTCTAAACAATGAGTTAGACATCACAAGCAAATTTGGCTCTTAGATAAAAACGCATTTGTTTCTACCATAAAAAACATCTTTGGTCAATAACAGGTCCTGTTTCTCTTTGCAGAAAATTGGTGCACTCTTTGAGGAATAAGGAAGCAAAGCAATGCAATTGGCACTTGCAAAGTAACACACAAGTGTTGTAATTCTCAATACTATAATTTGTTCCAAACATTTTGCTCATCCCTAAATTCAGAATATCTAAACTTCTGTTTCCTAGGCAAACAGGATGTCTACTTAGAAAGCAATACAGCAAGTAACAGCAGTGATATGGAGCATGCATATAGATACATAGCTGTGTATATATACACACACATATACAAAAAGTAAAGTAGCATTTACACTAAGTGTCAATTTACATACACGAAGGGAAGTGAGCAGTCAGGCAGATGGGGCCTGATCTTCAGCCTCTGTGTGCTGATTATTTACCTGTTAACTTGGAACAGGGAAACTCCAGAAAAGCAAACTTGACATTAACAGTAAATCAAACAGCAAGAAATACTGCTATAGAAAGGCACGTGGCATGAAAGCTTTGTATTCAGAGTAAAATCATATTTAATACAATTAAAGTAATTACTTCAGTCTAGTCAGCCCTGGTTAAGCCTCCATTGGAGTTAATGAGCAAATGATGGTAAAATACTTTGAACATGCAAATGCTAAATACTTCTATTATTAATGTTATTCTTGCAACTGCTACAAGAGCAGGCAGATCCAGGATCCTTGGAATACTGCAATGTTGTAACATGAAAAATAAGGCCAGTACTTTTGTGTAGCTAGTTTAAACACATCTCCTTGTTGTACTGAGCAAGTATTTGCCTCAAAAGTACAAAAAGCTCAGGCCGTACGTTACCACCAAGGAAATAACTTTTGTGACCTGACAGAAACTAAATGATGATTTCACATCACCTAATACCAGCACATAAAGATGGAATAATTGCAGAAAAAGCTGAATGAAAACTGCAAGATGGAAATTAAGAGAAGCAGGAAAAATCTACTTGCTGTACTTTGAACTTCTGTAAGAAGAATTAAAGTCTTGTGCCCCTCCAGCAGTGTCATGCAGAGTATTGAATCCTTGCATGGTAACACAGCTTTAGGCAATTACCCAAAAAGGTAAGAACGCAATGATTGAAGGCATAAGGTAGAGACAAGGAAATGAGACACTGAATTAAGAAAGGTTAAAAGGACTGGGTCACGTTTAGTCCTGCAAAACAAAGACTTAACTGCATAAAACTACACAAAAGAGGTTATAAAATAGAGCAATGACTGATTATTCTCCCTAGTCAAAGATGGAACAAAAAATAATGAGATGAAGACATAAAAAGGAAAATGAAGGACTGAGAACCTTTATAACTCAAGGAGTGGAACAAGCAGCCCATAGGCTGTAGAATATTCATCACTAAGGGTATTCAGGCTTAAGTAAACATCCATCTGCTACACAATATTTTGTTATAATAGCTCCTGGTAATATGCAAGGAGGTAGAATGAGAGTCCCACCAAAGTCTGGGAACTGGATACCTACAATCCATTTATTTCATGTTTTTGAAACATTTATTCAGAACAAGCATCTGGTTCAATCCCCCAATTAACACTTTTTCCAGCCCTAAGTAATTAATCATAGAATTCATGGAGAAGTTTATTTGCTAGCAATGGAGTAAAACAAATTGCCTACAAACTTCTACATTGCTAATGGAGCAGCTTAATTACCCTTTTTTTGACATTTTAATTCAAAAACTAAAGCATAGGAAGTCATCCCTGGGCAGAGACCTTTGCAGCAATGTGTCAGCAGAGAATTACACAGTACTATAGACTCAGGCTCTCATTCATGGTACTGACCTCCTTTGAAGAGCACTCTGAGATTTAATGATGAAAAGTACTGTAAAAAGTGCCAGATATTATCATTAGTATTCAGGAGGACAGAATTCTGTGGCTTGGTTGAATTCAAAGAGACCTCCTGGTACTTATGAAAGCCAATACATTTTACAGAAGAGAATAGCTCTGACAGAAATGTTAATGTTGGCTGGCTGACCAAGGTGGGGGCAGGCCATGCTTTTTGCCATCATCTCCCAGCAAGCTGTGCTGCAGCTTTACTTAGTATCATTGAACCACTCTAATACCTGCTCATTTTTTGTTTTTACCATTTCCACAATGTAGTATTTCTGTTTATTTCCAAGTACAAAAATAAGGTAGTGTCTAAAACACCATCCTGATAAAGAAAATCGACATTACTGCTTGCATTTCTCAGAAACCTATTCATTCTGGCACTCCTGTCGCCACTTTTCATGCTAAGGAGCTTTCTTGGCTATGGCTGGTGACCAGAAGATGCTTATTCCACAAACGCCTCTTAGTTACAACCTCTCACACCCTGCAGCTCAGCTGATTTCCACCCTGCTGCTTTCAGCTGCTGTGGAGAAATTCCATGGAATGGAAAGTCAGTCACCCAGTGTTTGGGTACTCTGGTTTTAAAGATGTCCCTGCTTGCAGGAGTGGAACATGCTGTTCATTAGTCTATTCACCTGGATTTGCCACTAGATGAATTTTAAGTAAACATATTTTATTCTCACAAAACAGATTTTCAATGAGTAACCAATACAAACAACATGCATTACAATTCAATCCAGCAACACAGACTCTCAATAATAGTTCCAAATGCCTCTGCTAGCTTCAGGCAGTCTAATTGACCACTACAATTTACTTCAAGGTTAGCATGATTTGGACAGCTCCTGAAAACACGGTTTGGTTACTATAGCCTTCTATAGACATTTGCTGTGGTCAATCTTTTTCTGCCTACTGATTTCGCCTTTTGTTCTGTGTGAATAGACTTAAAACATCAATTAGTAACATGAGGAACTGAAGTCATTTTCCCTTATGCTCCTTAAAATCTCTTATAGATAATATTTCTTTACCAGCACATTCCAGGGTGATAGCTGCTTTACCTTTGCATCTTTCTACAATAAAGCTTTCTGCATTTCTTATTTGGTTTTTAACCTTTATTAAATTTGCAGCTGCTCTAACATCTTCATTTATTTATTAGTGCTCCTAGAGATCATAGATTGATGTACTGAGGTGGAAAACACACACCTCCATTTAGTTTTAGAAGAAATAATAATGAAAGCCTTGTTAAAAATTACATTGTAGTGTTTTGGGGTTTGGTTTATGTTTTTGTTGTTTGTTTGTTTGTTTTTTTACCATTGCATTACAGACTGTTGTTTGTCTATTGATTTCTCCATGGTTCCAGCATACCTCAGATGACAATACACCTTCATATGGAGTCCATGAAGATAGGTTTACCTTAACACTTATAGTTGACAAAGTGTTGAACTCATGAAGTCCAAGCCAGGTAAGCCTTCCCATTCATTCTTTGTTTTCCAAATTGCATCACAGCTATGTATGTTCCTATTGCTTCAGATTGCTCTGGGATCAGTTAATTCAAAGACCTGTCATGTCTCTCTATCTAGGTCTTTACCAAGGACAGGGAATAGGATACAGCAGGGATGAAGCTGAGGAACCATAGACATAAAATTGCCGTAATTTAAAAAACATCATCCAGAATGATTAAATATTCTTACAGATGACGAGAAGACTGCAATTTTCACAATTAACTTCTCTGGGGATGCCACAGCCAAATCAAGTGGTACTAGTTCTTACACACTTTGAAAGAACCTGTTCTGAACAATTTCCAATGATAAAATAATAAAAAAAAAACCCACAACTTAACCAACGTTTGGTGATGGAGAAACTGCAGCTGGGCTAGTATCTTGTGCACTTGTTTTCAAGCACAGAGGGATGAAGACTGGGGTGTCTATCAATGGCTGTGGCAGGGAGCTATTGTTGTATCAGCTCTATGTGGTATCCTTAACAGGCAGCTAGCAATTATGAGTCTCTTATCCCAGTAATTACAAGCATAAGAATACCTCTCGCACAACATTAAATTCCAGTTCTGCCATGTAGCTCACGCTTCTCAGAGTGCAATGCACTAACCAGAACAAATACTTTTTCTTAGGACTAAAATCAAAGTCTTAACTGGCTGGTCAGGACTGTTTGCCATTGTGTGCATTAAAGGGGCTGCACTGTTATTTTAGGTGTCAAGGAACACATACTCTGATTTTTACAAAATTTTAGCATGCTTTCTTAAAACAAGTTATTTTTCAATGTGAACAAAGCATTCCACAGCAGTTTTATTAAGGCTAGAGAACTTATTCCCATATATATCTATATACAATGTAACAGTAACTTCCAATGAGAAATAAAACTATTAGAAACTACCATTACTGTGAGCTCTTCAGAAAATATTCCAAGTGTCCTGTGTAAGACTCTGCTATTATTGGATGTTCTCAATATGTGTTAGCAAATTAGATATTCTGGTAACTCTCTCTGTTGGAAATGTTCACCTTGTATATGAAAATTTCACTGTCTGAAATCCCAGCCTCATCAAGCACTAGCTACTACAGTTAATTCTTTAGGAATTTTCTTGTCTTTCTCAGAATTATAATTTAAAGCAGTCAGTTAAGAGCTAAATGTTAACTGGAAGGTCTGATACTCTGAGACATTACAGAGCTTTATATTTTCTGGCCTCTCAAACATGCATGTCCCCAGATAAGACAGCGCTCTGATTCTGAAACATGCAAAGAGCTGGCCAAACCTTGGAACGTTATATCTGAAATATTCTCTGTCTGCTAAATGCAGGAATGAAACATAAATAAGGAATGTAAAACAATTCAGTAAGGATATCAAACGGCAAATATCGTAAAAAAAATCTCGCATTTATGAATCCTGTTGTCACATTATTTTGAACATAAAAGTCATCTTCTTATCAGTGAATAAAATCCTACCCTACTGTTGTGGGCACCTAGCCCCAGCACACAGCCATATAGGTCTGACAGCTGATTCCCTCAAAGAAAAGTATATCCTCACTGTTACTGAGTCTTCTTACTTACCAGTTGGGACAGCAGGATCCATTGTTGGCTTTTCCCAGGTATTGATCTGCTCCCAGGTAAATCCATTGGTTCCCAAGGCCACACTATAACCACAATTACTGTAGTGCTCATCAAATGAACAACCACCTAAAATCAAGAAAAAAAGAATACATTCCTGCATTAATTATTTACATCTCCTTATGGTAGTTCATTTATTTAAATATTTTCTGCCCAAGTTTATGCAGGGGAAAAAAAAAACCTGGAAAAATAAAAATAATTTCCTGGATATTAGATTTCAGACAGCAGAGAAGGTATTCAGAAAATATACGTACTTCCCAGACTGTATCTATTGAAAGCCTTTTTTTTCTTTCCTCCATGCTATTGTTTCTTAGATCTGTTTCCTTTATTTCAACCTATTGTCTTCATATTTTCAAGGACAATTGCACATAATATGCACATGCAGGAATATTTGCGTTTGGGTCCCAGTAACTGATAGTTAATTACATAAAGCTCCAAGTCAGATATTCAAAAAAAAAAAAAAAAAAAAAAAAAAAAAAAGGAACGCAAATGGTAAGCAAGTACATCATCATTGTTTGTACAGTGCATCCTCACTTTTTTGCTTTTAAGCCTTGAATTACACAAGATTGTGTTACACCTACTGAAAGCACAACCCCCTTTTCAACCACCTCTTATGCATAACAACATGAAGTTTCATGTGGCACATGACCATTCCTCAAGGTCTTTCAAGTCAATTCTTTTGAGTGCAACCCTCTAGTTTCTCGACAACAAGGGAATAACAAGAAGTGGATAGCAACTGGCATTCACACCTTCCAGACTATTGACTAAGTGATCTTTCCTACCGCAATTCCTGAAATACTTGGAAGTAGTTAACTGTCATAAATAACCTGGCAGCTGCCTGAACACTTGTGAATCAAGGGAAACCGATTAACAGTGGAATGAAATCTTGTATTCCAATGCAGATCTTTGCAAATTGTGTCACACAGACAAAACAAGCTAGCTTATTCCCTGGTAGGATATTTCTACACTGGTGTCCCTGGCCTTACTTCAGGCACATTCCCCTTCACATCCATCCAGCTTAGTCTGTCAAACATACTTCAGTACTGGATCTATTAGATCAGGCAAACCTGGGTCCTTGAGTTTAGACCTTAATCGTGCCAACAGTGCCTCTGTACTGCTTTGGTTTTCTCTCTTAGGGAAGCAAGGAAAATTTTTCTCTGCAGATACTAGTCTTCCAGAGTCTACTGGACACATCTCACAATTCAGAGCTGCAAGGTCTGAGCAACGCTGAAGGCAACACTAACTTTCTCTGCCAGCCAAACTGCCAATTGCTCTTGACACTAATCAGAGTTACATGCACAGAGATGTTCCTGACTCTTTACGCCTTCCCACAGGCTGCATTGCCTACACATACACAATAAACAGCGGGTACGTGAGTGATCTGTGGTTCCTTTGCAATAAGGATTATTCAGCACTGGGAAGGTTGAGGCCTTCTTTAGTTTTCACCTATATTTTCTATTCTCTAGCTCCCAAGAAAGCCCAAACTTGCCTTCGTTCATACGGAACTCCTCATAAATGACAAACACAAACATATACTGTGTCATTAATATCTATTAAATCCTTATTCTGTTAAAGGACTTTATGGGCACCACAACTGCAACTGGTTTTCTAAGTTCTTCTACAAAAGTTCAGATATTATTTCTATTTAAGTATAAACTAGAAGGATGTGTTGGGTAGAATACCTAATCCCCCAAAATACTCTGTTGCTGAAGAAAAGTTTAAAGATCAAGCTTGTCCTAAAAAAATAACAATTACATTTGAGATATTGCATATTTACTTTATAAATAGATCTGACTATAGCAGATTTTATGACCCTTGCAAGCTTGCTTGTTTCAGTACAATCTCTGCAAATATTTCTGAACTGTCATTATTTTACAATGTTTTAATAATTCTTACTTTAAATTTACTGTACTTGTGAAGCTTTCCCAGCTGTCAAAATGAGCAGGATTACACTTAAATTGTTTCCCTAATTTTTAAAATTTAATTTAAGGTGAAAAGGTTCAAATTTAAAATATTAAACATGTTCATTAAAATGTCTAAGGGAAAATAAACGTGTTCTGGATTGTGTGGGAGTATTCAATGCAACTGAAAGTCACCTTTTTCACAGCAAGCGGGTATGAGAGATGAAATCAAATACTCTGCTCTCAGTCTCCAAGCGGGGCTTTCTAATTTTGATAGATACACTTTAATAGCACAACTTCAGACATACACCATTTCCACACAACCTCTGTTCAGCATACTGCAGTGCACAATAACAGTACTGTCTCTGAGCTATTACTTTGAAGGGATTGTAAACAAATTCTCTGATCGAGCCAGACAATTGTACAAGGCCTCATGTACACAGAGAAAATTGCACAGGTGCTGCTACAAAGTCCCAGAAGCAAAACTAGCGACGGTAGCAAAATATGGGGTAGCAGTCCTCATTTAACAGGGAATGTAATTGTCAATATCCTGGTATAATCAGCTAAACAGGTTATTTTATACATGCTGAGGTAGGTGAAGTTGGAGGAGGATCTGAAAAGGAGATACAGTAAGAACTTCTGGGAATTAATTGGGAGCTTCCACTGATAAGAGACAACACTTGAGGAAGATTTAAAGTGTCTTGTCTGAAAGTCACAGCTAACTTTGTAATACAATTGGGTAAGAAAGGAAAGGATAAGCGATGAAGAGCCTTAAAAGTAGCAGCAAGACATCTACATTTGAAAGAAAGAAGAGGTTAGTGGAGAAACCTCTAAATGTAGAGAGACAGGGCAATAAGCCAGAAAGATTAATTTGCTAGAAACAACAGAATTGGAATTTGGAGAGGTGAATTTGCAGGAAATGAGGACAAGGAGAAAAAACTGGAGTCAATTTTAAGGGATGAGACAAGCAGGCTGGTTGCATGAATCTCAGGTACCAAGAGGAAGGAAGTCTCCATCCGCTTCTTGCTGTAGTATGTCAAAAGAGAGCAAAATTCAAAGTGAAGACTTGGCTAGTACCCAGAGCCACATTAACTCATGAGCAAAAAAATCAGCAAGTCCTCTGTTTGCACTATTACAATGTACACTGCATTATAGAACAGAAAAGAAACTTCAGGAAGTGGAAGGAAAGAACCACAACATCCAGAATACCACAAATTTGGGGGTTACTTTAATAGTCACAGTGTCTTCTGTTCATATCTGCCAACAAGTGTATTACAGATGGTCTTAGGACTATCTTTTTTGCAGAACATGGCAGACACGACATTACAGCTTCAGTTACTGGCAGTCACATTCAGAAAAGCAGTTGTAAGGCTTCCACCCAACTTCACCACGGGAATTCAAGACCCATCGTGTTCTTCCTCCGTCTCTGCAGGATGGCTCCTCGCACAAGTCCTCTCCCCCTTCCTGGTGCTTCACCCTCACCTAAAACATGGTTTTTCCAGAGGCACAGCCAACCATCACCGAGGGGCTCAGCGGCCTCCCGTGCCGGGGTCTGCCAGGACGCAGCTGGACCAGCCTCTCCCCACAGCAGCCACCCGCCCACCGCCAGCACACGCACACGGAGCACAAACACGGCGCCTGAGCACAGAAACATCCGCCTCTAAAGGCAAACCCAGGCTGTAGCTCCCCAGCCCTCTCCCGAAAGAGGAGCCAGGCGGGGCTGAGGGACGCCCCGCAGCACCATTACCACATCGCCACACTTGGATCCGCCTCCGTGACAGCTTTGCCACCACTCCAGACAAAGCGAGTGGGCTCCATCCATTTCTCGGGTCGGCAGCCTGGCCGAGGGCAGTGTGCCAGCCCAGGGAGCCCCAGGAAATCATCCTCCGGTGGGCCCTGCCAAACACAGCACACCCCACAAGCCCTAGTCCCTGCTGAAGGAGGGTAAACTGGGATGAGGAGGAAGAGTTTGAGAAAAAATGTGGCATAATACCTTTTCTGTGGAATATTATTGACCCAGAAGATGAAAGTGCTCTTATGTTCAAGTGTGCCTTCAGTACAATAAGCTCCTAAGCACACTTGTGAGGAAGCACAGGGCAAAGGTGCATTTGATGTCCAACAGCACTTGTGCAAGTGTTCCTCATGCTCACCTAACGGGATCGAGTGATCCCCTTTGCTATAAAATCATCTAGATCCTTAAAAAATCAATCAGTTCCCAATAATGAATTTCAGTTTAAAATAAAAATTTATTAATAGTTTTTAAGTGTCCACTTCAGTAGGGATCTCAATGCCAAAATGGGCCGACATGCTAAAAAGAGCAGATGTGTTATTTTCTCTGACGTCAGCATAAGCTTAGTATTTAGCATTTTCTTAAGACATGCCACCTCTGTGGATACCTAAATATGCTGGAACATTAATAATGGGGGGAAGGGAGGGAAGTGGTAGGAAAAGGTTAGATCCATCCTAATACAAAATCATCCATTGCTGAAAACATACCTGCTTAGAAGCAGAACTGCTATTCATTAACATAGAAAAAATAATCCTCAAATTGAAAGGAAAAGATACCACTCAAGGACTTCAGGTACCTGGTTCGCATGTTATAAGTTTAGCCACAGTATCACAAAGCTCTTTGAAGAAAATGAAAACATTTACACATTCACCAAAACAGGGTTCTAAGTGTTCACAAATTGTTAACAAGAATGAGGATTTTTAGGAAGCAAACTGTGATCTTGGAATCTTTCCCCTGGTTGGCTGAAAATTAAACAGTGACAAACACCCTTGCTAAGGGGGGCAAAAGAAAAGGAAACCAAGATGACTCTGATATTATTAGGTAATACATGTGGTGTTGACCCCTTTTCACAAAATGAAACCCAAACAAGCAAGAAGCTTTTCCCTTCCTGAAAAGGGTCATATTGAAGCAAATAACAGCTCACGTAGGAAGGATAAAATATCCCTTGTTTTACACTGCAGGCTTGTAACAATGCCACTGCTCATCTGAGTGATACTAATTAATCTTGAGCAGACCTATCATCAGTTACTGAGACTTGCCCCTGGATTAAATGTAAACCAGCCTTGCATAAATTGAATGCCTCCTTTGAATATATAATTGAATTTGCAGAAGTGTGCGCCAGGGGGGTGTTTAAATAAGTGCACAAATATGATAAAAAG